CTTTCCACACCCAAATGTAATTGTTATGACCCGAGATTCTTATACAGTATTGCCTGACACAGAAACTGTTTTCATTAATTTGCAAATAAAGGAAAAATAACAGAGTGAAGTTGTTATGGTGTATGTTGCTTGTAGTTCAGTGCCTATGCTCTCTTCACATGATGATGAGTTTAAACCTAGTAAGTCTTACAATGGTTGTTTTTGCCTGGTGTCTCTGAGTGGTGAAAAGATGTGAACATCATCTGCTGTCAATGAAGTTCATGGCAAAGGAGTTAAATTATCTATTTTCACCTATTTTGAGAAAACATTTTTAGGCTAGTAACAACCTGATGGTCACTTTCAATTTGCAAAGAGGGGAGGAAACTTCTATGCAGTGTCATGTGGAATATCATGGCAAGTAAGACATCAGGATGTTAGGAAGGGTGGCCACGTGGCATTTTCTATAGCTGTATGAGACTCATAAAAGGCTTTAATAATATAATTTGTCATGTGGATATAATGGTAAAGAACTGAAGCATCTGATGTAGTTCACTTTCTTACTTTCCTCTGGTAACCTTGAGATACCACAGCTTCATTATATCAGCTACTGAGGGTAGTTCTACATTGACCTGACCCCTTTCCTATCTGAAAGAGACAGGAACAGACCAGAAAATAGGGCACTGGAAGACTTTTCAGGCCAGTGTTTGGCTGCTGGCTTGATCACTGACCTGGGCAAGCACCTCATTACCCTTTCCTTCTGGTGCCACCTCTTACTATTTCTCTTTTAGTACATTGCATGCATCAGTCAGTGAAACAATATATTCTTTCCATTATAATGTATTTGAACCCAAATCTTWCTTGTAAACATCACTGTACTGTAAATAGAAATGAAAGATTTGGTATTCATCCAAGAACAAAGCAAATGTCTATTTTTACATCATGGTGGCGGGCTGGAAGGGCTGAAAGAGGACTGAAAATGTTCTTGTATAAAAGAGCTTTGACCTAGAGCAACAAAAATCTTGTCTGCTCTTTCAGCAAGATTCTGAGTACTCAGGTGCCCTAGAAACTGAGAACCTAGAAACTGCCCTAAAAAATTCCATTTAGAAATGGGAGATTGGTTGCATCTTCTGCTGCTGTGGAATCCTACCACAGCCTTTGCAAGGCATTCTTCCTCTATTCTTACAGATTTTACAGATTTTACAGATTTTACAGATTTTACAGATTTTACAGATTTTACAGCTTTTACAGATTTCACAGAATGTTCTGAGTTGGAAGGAAACCACAAGGATCTTTGAATTCAATTCTTAAGAGAATGGCCCATGGGGGTACAAAACCCCTTCATGCCTGTGAAATTCAGGTGTGTGAGGCTGTAATTTCTAAAGGTGTTTGTGCACCTTCAGGGACCCATCCACATGCTCAGGCATTTGTCTTGCAAGAGAACCTGTAAAGAACAGCAGGAATCCTCATGGATAACAAGTATTAAAGAGCAGAAATTAATGTAATTTTCCTTGCCTGTGTTAATGTCTGTGACACTGTATTTCYGTGGCTAAAATTCTCCTTAAGAATTGAAGAACCTACCTGAATTAAAGATATACATAAATCTTTGAATCTTCTCAATATCTTACATAAATGTCTATTCTGATTATATTTCTTCTTTATAATAGTTATATTAATAATTAYTTCTTGTGAGAAGAATGAAAAGAGGTGTTATTTTAGCTTGTGCTCCATTCATCTGCATTATTCAAAAATGTAGAAGTGACACTGTCTCAACTCAAGCTTGCTTTTTAAGACAGCCTCTGCAGCTTAGCAAGTCATTTGTATTGATCAGGCTTGCCCCTGTTTATTTTGTGTGATATTGACATGATCTGAGGTGATAAGTGCACAATTCCTTAGGATATGTATACATAAAGTTGCAATGATGAGGTCAAAAATTGTTTCAAAGATCTCTTGCACACATAATGTGTACTACTAATAGTTTAATTTAGGGTGGAAAGATAGAGCTCTTCTAAGAAAGAAATTGATTTCCTGTGATCAAGAAAAGTCTATGTCTAATGTGTTATATAGTTCCTTGTGTAGGTAAAAGTAGGCACGTAAAGATGAGACCCAGCTGGAAAGCTGATTCTCATTCATGTATTACTAAAGTTCACTGAAATATAATTTTCAGGTTGATTCAAACCCTAAGATGCTGCAGACTTACTCAGGTCTGAAGTGAGACTCCTGTGTCATTGTCTAAGGATTAAATTTTTACCTATATTTTCTTCCTGGAACAGTAGMAGTGGTACACAAAGCTCTCCTGAAGGCATTGGCTAGTTGGAACAAATGTATTTGAGATAAAATATGTATTAAAAGACACAGAGCAATCTCCTTTCATACTTGGCTTTCTTTGAAACATATCCTGAGTCTCAGAAAAATATGAATTTGTATCCATCCGCATTTCTCTGTGTATTGATCTGTCCTTTGGTGGACTCTGACAAGCATGTCTTCCCAGTTCTTGGAAACTTTCTATTGTGTACAACCCTTTTCAGTCATTTCCTGCATTTTTCAGCCCACTAAACTGGTCAAACCATTTCAGTCTGGAAGTATGACACAATCTAGAGTTGCACAGCATCCACTGCATTGGTGTGGGTTCAGAGGTTTGCTTTCATTTAGTTRTAACACTTTCCTTTCTGCCTTGTTTGTCCAGTGATTTCAAATTTAGATCGATATATAGAAATGAAAAATAATTTCATCCTGCTGGCCAGGTTACTAAAATATTTAGACCACACCAAGGTCATGTCCATCATATTTTGGAATTGCTTTCTACCTTTCACAATTCCCTTTAACTTTGGTCACAAAATGAAGCATCCTTTTTTTTCTTATTCTGCTAGCTGTCCAGAAATTCCTCTGCATAAATCTACAGTGACGGTTGGTTTTTTGTGAGATTTCATTTCAGCAGCAGCTGTTTGCAAACCAATAAATACTTGCTGCAGAAATTGAACATTTTGACCAGTTCTCAGAAGTCTAAAAGTTGAAATCACTTTAGTGTGTCTGGATCCAATCAACTGCAGTACAGAGGCAGTTGTGGACACCTCAGGGGTCTTCAGAAAACATAATAGGCAGGAGGGAATGTCACAGCATTCATCTTCTGAGTCACATTTTTTTTATTAGGTGCAGTTTTTAACCTCAAACTTTCAAGCATGTTCTTTCATGCTCTTCAAGACGTGTGTTATTATACCTCTGCTATCCAGTTTTTATATTTAAGTCAATATAATCTTATTATTTCTCTCTCTCAAAGATTATCTTCTGCATATGAATAATAACTTGGCAACTAAAACATGAAACAGTTCTAGGTGACTTTCTATATGTGTATTCAAATGAACGTTATATAACCAAGTACTTTTAAAGTATCTTTACAATAATGACACCCAAGACTGTACAGTTATCCTTTTGCTTCTTGCTAGGCATGGTTTGGGTGAGGACTGGAACTAAAGAAATTGTGTTGATGTCAAAGTTTTTRCATGTAGGAGACAAGAACATTAAGATGTGGCTGAACATGTTTTGCTCTTGTATTTTGCCCTTCCTCTACTTTGTTTTCTCATGTTGAGCTCTTCAGTCTGAGGCATTGTTTGTGGAGGTAAAATGTTTGGTAACTGCTGTGTTTAATTTAAATGACTTGGCTTAGAGCAGGCTGATGCTTAAACTGGAGTAGACTGATGCCCACACAAACTGTGTGGAATTACAGAGCACTCAGCAATGTCTAGTGAATTTGTACTTGATTGGTTGGAAGTTTCAATCTCCACATATAATCAAGTCCACTGGAAAAGATGCTCTGACAGATGCTTAATTGAAATTTGAAAAAAGCATATCCTGCCATGGGCKCAGACTAGAGTCTCCTGACCCCTTTGCAGGGCAGCTCTCATTGTGCAGCTGTGACACAACAGAATGCACAAATTCTTTCCATGTTTCATTACCTTTCACCTCTTCTCTCTCCAGAGATCCTTGATAGGTGACAATTAAAACATCCAAGGACATAAAATCCTAAACTTGGGTTGCTGAAGTTTGAATGAAATTCTTAAGGTTAGGATATTCTCCTACTTGCTGCAGTCCTCTGTGAAATGAAACAACTTTTTGTTTTTTTTGTTTTTAAACTTGAATAGACTTTTTAAAGAATAATGCAGTTGTAACAGCTCCCAGTTTAGCAACATCTATGTACTAAGCAATAGTTCCTGGACCTTTATTGTTTTAGCAGAATTGCAGATACTACTCTGGAGAGATACTAACATAATGTATCCGTTCAAGGTTTGGCAGTTCAGAGTTTCAGACCGTGCGATGCCACCGAAGAACAACAATTTCCCTTTGCCTTCCTTTATAGGCATAAATACCTCTTCCTCAGCCAAACAAAGAATCTCATAAGAAAAAATTAAAAACATAAATTTTTTCTTACCAGACCATAGCAGAAAGATTTTTTTTTAGTTCTTAAGGTTTTGTGCTTTTTTTTTTTTTTAGCACATCAATAAAGAAATTATCAATTAATATGTATTAATTCCAGACACACAAACATTAGCAACACTTTCAGAATGTCAGAGCTCTCAGCAGCAGTTAAGCACACAAACTGACTATTCTTGTTTAGTGTAAAGATATCTGAGCAAGTTCTAGGCTAGTGAGTCCGAATACCTGAGCTGTCACTGTGCCCTCTTCACCCTTTTCTGAGGGTTCCTTCCTGTTCATATCAAGCTGACCCGGTTATATAAATACTTTATTGCAGTGCAGGAATAACCTTGCTTGGTCCTGTAAAGCCATCTTCCAAGACACCAAACTAAAAGGACTAGGGAACTGTATTCTGTTTTTCCTTCCTCCTATACCTTCTAGAGCTGGCTTCTCAAGCTACTAAAAGCAAATGWWCCATGTTTGTTCCCACCCTGGAGARGTCTGTTTACATGGTAAGAGCCCACCCAGGAAGACAGAAACACTTTTCAAATAGCCATGCTAAAGCATAAGTGCTTGTCACACACCACCCAAAGAAAGTATTTGAGAGAGCTCACCATGCTTGTACTTCTAGGAAGAGATGCAGATTTTGTGGCTGGCATTCCTTTGCTATGAGAAATCATAATTTCGACTGGCAAGCCAGATCTTGTTCTGCATGACACACCATTATCAAATGATCTGAGAGAAGGACTTGTATCCAGGGACGATGATTTCTCTAATTTGTGTGCTCGTGCTCCAGCCACGATGTCGTCACTTCTCAGAGTCTCTAAGTCTACTTCTTCATGGGTTTTCCCATCTAGAATGTTTTCTTTCCAGTTTTCAGGAGACTTTCTCTTAATATGAAAGTCATCCAGGCTTCTCACACTGGATGGAAAGGTATTTTTCAGTTTAGCAGCTCGGTATGCCCTCAGGCTCATGGGATCAAGCACTCTGAAAGTAACTTCATTAATAAATTGAGAGAATTTGAGTTTAGCTTCTATTTTTTCTTCCACAACAGACAATGAACTTGATGATCCTTGACTCACCAAGCTCAAGTCAGATGTAGAGGAACTGCTTTTCTTGTGAGTCTTCTTCTGCCTCTGGAGCCTTTGGCTGGCGTTTCCCACTTCTGCTGGATACAGAGAAGAGTGTTCCAGTCCGTGAGTTTTTTCACCCCCTTTCTGACAGTGCTTTGATCGATGGGGTCGATAACCTTCATCCTTATTTTTGCTTTTAACAAAGCTTTTAGCTTCTGACCTTGTGCTGCCCTGTAACTCAAAGCTGTCCTCACTGGAGCTGCAGCGTTTTGAGTAACTGTTCATGGTCAGATCTCCAGAGAGGCTCCCCTGTGCACCAGTTCCCACCTCTGGTGCGCCCGCAGCGCTGCAAGCACTGCACGCTCTTCCTTCATTCGCCCTGCCACCCCCTCGTGCCTGGCCGGTGTTCCAGCACAGCACCCTCTGGCTTTATGGGGAAATGGAGCCCATCCACAGCTACTGTATTTACTTTAGCCTGGTATGTCAAACACTGCCAGGGAAAGAGGGATTCCCAAAAACACTCCTCTATCTTGTGAAACAACAGGCATGTTTTTAGAAGGCATAACAATGCACCCACCGTATTTTGTCCCATATGCGCCCCAAATTATGCATATGTTTCATAATTAGATCAATAGCAAATTCTTGTTTTAATTAACCGTACTAATGAACAGAATCTATAGGACATGCAAATTTTCCAGGGTATTGAGTCCTCAGTGGATGAGCATGGGCTTTCATTGACCCAAAGCAACATATGATATATTCCTGTTTGTTGAACTGGAAACCAAACTGCCATGATGTAGATCAATCCTCACTAAGTAAAGTCTGGGGTGGTTCTGTTTCAGGGCTTTTTAAAATCCAATAGCAGAGAAGGTCATGCTATATTGTCCTAATGCTACTAGTGTTTGCTATTCTATTAAAAAAGTTAGTGACAAATCTGCTAGATCCAGAAAAGCAAACAAAACGTAATTCCCAATTTCTACCTGCTTGTTTTTTGCCATGATTTTAATTCTAAAATAATTTTTAAAGGTTAGAATCCAAAGCAATGTGCAATATTTCAACGTCAATGAGCTTGGAGTAGTAACAATAAGTTCTTTTGGTACCTTGCATGTGAAGTACTCATCATTATTTACTGTCTTTATAGACAGGCAAGTCTGAACTGTGAAGTGAAGGATTTCTGTTTTTGGTTTGTATATTCATGAACCTCAGGAGCAGTTTAAGTGAGGTTGAGCACTATAGTCTGAGTTTACAATCAGCGTGGATATTTGTAGTGTCCCAATGATGTATTGCCACAGGAAATGGCCAGAGAAAGGACTGATAAATTTGAAAGGGTTTTTTGGTGGGTTTTTTTTTGTTTGTTTGTTTTTTGTTGGGTTTTTTTTTTTTTTTTTTTATCTCTTTATTTTAGCATAGGGGTGAAAGCAAATGGTTTACTCTTTTTTGTATGGTGGCATTCAGACTCTACTTACAGCACTGTCAAATGCAGCAAATGGAGAAAGAAAAGAGAAGAGAATCACAAGCAGAAACCTGAGTGACCTCCCTTAAACACACAAGAATAGATTTAAAAATATTATGCGTAGCTGACAGGTCAACAGCAGCTTGAGCTGAAATGTAGTTCCATGTGCTTTTGAAGCAGACATTTAGGTCCCTCATTACAAGGCACTTTACTTAGTGCCTAGAATTTATTGTCTCCACGTTGGTAATTCCAGCACTCATTTAAATCATAGTTCATAAAAGCTGCTGAAGTGTTGCAAATCTCTCAAATTAACATAGTAAGTACATTAATTTTGCAAATAACAGGGGGACATGAAGATCCTTTTAACACATCAGAAATCAATTGCTTTTACTGGAATTACTTTTTGAAATGCTTCCATATTTTCTATGGGACTGTGCCATTCCATTGCTACAAATTTGTGCTACAAATATTATCCTGAACACAGAAATAATGTGGATTAAAATGCATAAATCTTGTTCACACTGTCTTGTTTTAGATTAATTTATGCCTCTCTCACTTGAATGTGAATGCTAACAGTTTAAAGGGCTGGCAAATGCTTCCAATTCTCAACACAAAGATTTTCATGACCTTTTCAATGCAGCCAGGGAACAATACAGTACTACCATCTTCTTTAAAAGCCAGAATTTAGGGGGTTTATCAATGTGTCCAATACTTATTTCTACAAACTTGATATTACTCTTGAAGCAATCTGGATTCTGAAATACATAGGGTATATGCAAATCCGTCTTAGGTCTTTTGCCTTCCAAATCCATTAGAGCTTGGCAAAGCGTGAGCTCTGCAGTTTTAAAGGACTTTATTAGTAATGCCTGTTTCATAAAGAGAGAAAGCCCCATTGTTGAGCCAGAACCTGTAATGGCTTGTGCATATTTGGAAATGAGATTTTTTTATTCATGGCAGGCTGGTCTCTTTTGTACATGAATAAAGCTATGTTAACTACAAGCATAAATTCAGCTATCCATTGTATGTCATATTTTAAAATATGAATTTAGGAAGTCTTTTGTACAACCAATAAAAAGGGATCGTAATTTTTTTTTTATTGTCAGGAAAGAGCTCATTTGTTCAGAAAGATGATATTTGCATAGCAGTCAAATATATATGTAGATATAGATATAGATATATGTTTACAAGTAACTTATGTCAGATAGGTAACGTGGGTGTCATATTGCTTATACAACTGCTTCCCTTTCTCCAGATGATTTCTGCTTAATGTTACTAGACATATGATAGAGACATATCTGGTTATTAAGAAATAAATATCATCCACAGCTGCAAAATGAAAAATAATTCTTACTTAAATGATATGGATCTTTTCACATCAATTACTATGAATCTTGGTCAAAACAGAYGTTATCTAATTTTGTAATAACAGTAGCTAGTCAGTGTTCTCCCTTAAGTAAATTTACCAAAATATTCTCTAGAAAATACCTGAATTGCATAAATTGTTTCCATTATGTGTAATAGAGAAGCTGAATATTAAGTCTAAATATGTTTAAAAATCGGGATGTTTGATGTCTTGAACTTTTTAATAATGATTTGATGTTCATGATTTATTTTCCATATGTTAAGTGACTTATTTTCTGAAGTGTTCATTTTACCTCATATATTTAAATCTCTTTGAAGACATTGCTGATACAGGGAATTTCTTTTTCCAGTGCAAACAGGTGTGTCTGTGAATGGCAATACTTTGCTGCAGTAGTCTGGGAAAAAATACCTTCAGAGAGCTCAATTTCTTCTGTTATTTATTACTACAATAGGCCTCTGCTAGGTAGATGCTTGCCAGATTTCTAAGTTCTTCTAAAGTAACCATATTAACGTTAAAATAATCTTAAGAGAAAGAAGTTATACATTAATTTTGCCCTACTTTAGAAACGGTGGGCAAAATTGTTGGAATAAAACAGTATGTCTGTGCAAATGAACTGAAAACTGTCTGACCTAAGTGACAGACTTCACTGTTAATAAGGTGTCCTTTACCAGCAGCTCATCCATCATCTGAACATTATCAAGTTCATTGACCTTTGATCAACACCTGCACTTTGGTCTGTAGCTGCCATTAACGGTCTTTAAATCAGGAAAGGACTCGATTTTATTCTGTACTTCTGTGACACCCAATCATAACAAATCATTGCATAATGCGTCCCTGATCAAGATGACATCTCCAGATACCATCAAGACTCACTCATAAGTGAACTTTTTCTATGGATTCCAGTGGATACAGTTTGTGTGGTGCAATGGCTAAGATGTTCTATTCTATTTCAGTGTTAATACAAGAACATAAACAGAGCAATGCTGATCCTTTCCTGATAAACTGACTGCTGAATCTGGAACTTTGATAACAGAATGACAGTTAAGATCATAGCTTAAATGGGACTTGCATAAGGACTTAGTATTACATCTGACAAGATTGAAACATTCAGGTATCTGTCTAGTAAGCCAGTTACTTAGGACAACATATGAGGATTTTTCTGAAAGGTAATTTAGGCTTATTTATATCCTGAGTGTCAGTTTACAGAATTATTAGAATCCTGCATATATTGTATCAATATGGAGCATAACAAAGCTACCTGCAGATATGACTTGATGCAATGGAATATTTCTAGAGACCATTGTCTGAAGATTTTAAGCTGAATTTGGTGGAAATTTAAAAAAAAAAAGAAGTATAATAATTCCACCCTCCCTCTTAAATAGCATCTCTGGTTTTTAATCTTCAGGAGATGTTAASTTTTGCTAATTGCATTAAAAGCAAGCACAAGCTATCTGGTATTTGCTGCAGTTGTTATGACAACTAGAATTTTCTTTGAGTCAAGCTCTGGAAGATAATGATCATTTTTGGGTCAAAGCAGAAAACATTCAACAGTTTTAGTACAAAGTTTTTGTGTATCTAAAAGTATGTCTTTTGATACATTGACAAGATTATCTTCAGCAGATTATCTTCATTTAAAAACCCAAACATGTATAAAGGTTTTCCACATTTTGAGATTCATAAGAAAGTTTTAAATTATTAATGAAAAAGAAAGTAAATCTGATTTTTAAATTATATTGAGGTTTATTTTACTTGCAATTAAGGATGATTCCAGAGTCTTTTATAGTMAGTGGATAGATTCCATCATTTTGGATCAACAATAACATTGTTGTCTTCGCTTGATGAAGCAAAGGACAAGTTTTTCCATTACAGTGGTATTTCCTGTATTTGTATTCCTAGCTCTCAGTCATCCTTTCAAATATTCAGAAATATTGCCTAAGCACCAGGGCCAAACTCACTAGAATTTTTAGGAACAACATTAATTTCAAAGTTCTGTTTGCCCTACAMATGTGTACATTCCTCAGCAGATACTCCACTCTTAAAATAGCTGTACCCCAACTCGCCCATTCTTGCTCAGATGTACTCTCCCTTTATGCTTTTAATGAAAATTTTATCACATCTTATCCAGTCCTCTTCACACTTAATGTAGTTAATTTTGAAATGGTTTATGGGACCTCTCAGTTTTGCACTTCAGTTTATCCCTTTAAATAATACAGATGTTCCTCTCTGGGTTTCTTTTTTTTTTTTTTTTGTCTGTAATGGTTGTCACATATAAGTTTGCTTTTAATATACGATTGCTTAGTCCAGTTTCATTAGCAAGATAGTTTGCTTAAATTATTATTATATTAAAATATCTCAACATTATTCTGTTTAGTTTTTCTCCAGAAATTCGGCCATGTTTCCAGGTTAAGGGGAATAATATCTATTTCTAAGATGCTAGGTCTCACACAGTAAAAATTCCATTGCACTAAA